CAAGGTGCTGGATCACAAATGAGTACCAGAAGCCATACAGAAGCTCTGTGGGGTAACAGGACACTATGCAAGGTTGTGGGGACCAGTGTGGGTAACTATTGAGCTTACAGGCATGAAGGACAGACACAAAGTATACTTGACTGATATTGAAGACCAATGTATATTAGAAGTGTGTAGTTTACTTCGATAAGATGACGATTGGGAATAACAAACGACCAGAGACGTAACAACACTATTTCGATAAACAGTCCGAGCCATCTCTACACAGGCAGTGCTACCGCCTGCTTGATGTAACCTACACAAAGTATGAAATAAAATAAATAAATTTCCCAGTGAGTCAGCAGTAAGTTTACAAACTTACAATTCTAAAAATTCTGTTGTTTGGTTGTATACATATACGTTGTATGGTTGATATAGCACAGCTAGTCTATTATATTGCTTTGAGCTAAAACATACAAACTAGAAAATAAATATGACAAAATATTCTGTAACATCTGCGAAATTCAGGAATAGCTCAACTTTACATATCAAACATAATATTTCGCTACACCATGTTTCTCCCTTTGTGTAGTGTAGATTAAGCAGCAACCTCCATCTCACTGATTGATAAACCACATGATTGCAAATATTAAAGTTTAAGAAAAAATACAATTATATTTTTATCACTATCAAATAAATACAGAACATGCTATGTTTTCTCTTAACTGATCTAAACCACTTAAAATAATTTTCCTAACATAGGCTTCTCAGTGTTCTGGCTATTATGCTTTCTTGCCTGAAAATTGTATACACTATATCTTATTCACGTACATTATACGCATCATGCAGAAACAAATTCGTATGTGATGTAAAATATTTGTATATTGCAAACACATACTCAAAACAATAAATAAGAAATAAATCATATATACGTTGTATAATACAGACCAGCGATGACATATATATGGTAACTGTCACTAAACACCATTAATGCCATAAGTGATTACAAATACTGTCCACTACCACATAATCATCTTTTAGTGAAATATCTCAACTCTATTGATATTGATAAAAATCAATTGCAGGCAAAAATTAAATGAAACTTGACTTTTACATTGTTATTAGTACAAGCCATATTAGTATTTGTGTTGCTCATTAGTGTACATGTATATTAATATACAGCACAAACTTCTAACACTTTTAGCCATGATCTCTGCTATAATCCTGCCATCTATTTTCAAGGAAACCCACTACAGTAGATATCATGAGAAATATATTCAGACCAGAACTGATGGAGGACCATTTCGTGCTAGTTAAAAATATAATCCCCGTCTTGTACTCCTCGGAGGATGGTACAGACTTTCAGACCCAAATATATGGTTTTATGTCTAAATGTAAATAATCATAAGTATATATATATATAATATATAATTCATAGGTAACATCTGTCAAAGTTTACCATAAAATTCCGCCTAAGGACTTAGAAAATAATAATTGTGAAGGTCCTTCAAGGTATGGATATTTAAAATTCTTGGCAATCATTAAAAGGTACATTAAATATCAATATTCTAGAATAACGTCTAATAACTGCAGGTGTCCTCGTTGTAGTGACCAAATACCACACAAATCCTCTTCATAACTTGGAATGTAAGAGGTGCTGTAACTTCTTGGCTTTCAAGTTTCATTAGCCATCTGTGACTTTAACTTATGATCCAATAGTCAATATAATGGATAAGAACTACTTAGAACTATTTTTGACAGAGGTAATTTATAGATTATAGAATACCTTGTATAGATCCCTTTGACTGACTTGAAAGTGTAGTAAAACATAATTATTTTTGTCCTTGTCCTGTGCGGATATATTTGAAGAGTTTCTTTTTCACTTCAGCAGCAAAATTAAAGGCGAAACGAGAAATAAAACGTAAACCAGTTTTGTGTTAAACTTTATATTGTTATGAATAAATATTTGTTTTATTTGTTACCTTTTGTTTGCATGTTTTTTTCTTTGTTATCCGCAAAGTTATATTTTATTTTC